TAACTTTATTTTGTTTCTTCATAAGTTATGTTTATATATGAATCATATTAATTCTATCTAAAATAGAGCTTCAAACATTCATTTTTCATGATATAAATATTCATCATCTAATAAATCAAATTGTTTACAGTATTAATATTAAATAAAAATTGTTATTAAATATTGATTAAAGTTGAAAAAATATTCTGACATAATCCCATTATTATTATATTTTAACTTCTTAACATTAATATACTAACATACTAATAAACTTAATGATGTTAGAACTGAGTGATCTTGGACTCCCTGGATTCGTCTTGTTGAGACGCTCGGTTCGACTAAAAGTTTGTCAATTTTTGAATTGATTTGAATTTCCAATTATACTCCATAAACTTCTGAAAACAGCTTAATGCTTGATCTGGACTTGATTTGACTCGGATTAGACCAAGTTTGGTGTCATCGGGTCTGTCAAGTTGAGCTGGTCAATTTGATTGTAAGTTTTCTGAAATTGGTGTTAATCTCTTACAGAAACAATTAAAAACTTATTCGATTAAATTATCACTAATCACATCATCAAAGGCTAAAATATATATAGAGAGAACGACAGTACATGCTTATCAATATGGATTCACCAGTAATTTTGCAGCAGCTTATAGGTGTCAGATATGTAAATACATAAAAATAGAGTGGTATGTATGTAAATTTTGCTTTTATTTTGTATGCTACCGTTCTGTCAGCTTCATTTTCATATATTATTAGTAATAGTATTTAAATTGTCTGTAGGTGATCATGGCCCACATCTCATATATTTTGTTTATTCTTTGAATTTAATTTAATTAATTAATTTTTTAATTGAATTTTGTTCTGACTAAATTACCAAGAATATAATAATAATTGTTTGGGAAGTAGTAGTTTTTATGAAAGTATGGTGTACGGCTACCAAAGACTTCATTTAACTTGAGTTAGAAAATGATTTGAGTTGAATTTTGAAAGTGAGTTTTATATATATTGAACTGATTTTTAATTGCTTTCTTTTTTTATGAACACAATTGCATGCAATGTTCGTTCGACTTCAATGATTTTGATTTTAATGATGCATCTGTTGAATCTTTTGAGGACGTAGGGTCCCGTAATGACCATAGGCTATACTGAAACCCTACTAGCATTGCGCAGAAAAGGGAGAAAGAAAGAGAGAGAAGAAGTGGATTGAGGGAAGAGAGAGTCACTGTATGTGTGTGTGTGTGTGTGTGTATGTATGTATGTATGTATGCATCTATTCATATGTATTTATCTATATGTGTACACATCTATTCATATATATATGTGTGCATTTTTGTGTATGTGTATTCTGTATGTATGTATGTATGTATGTATGCATGTGTCTATTCATGTGTATGTATGTATCTATTCATATATACAGATGTATAACATGTACTATTTTGGTCAAACTAAGAATCAAGCAAGCTTCAATTAGACAATATATTAAAACATTTAATCCATGAATTATTAGCATATTTTACTCAACAATCCCATGTATTTATATAATGAACCCACTTCTCTAATTATTCTCTCTAAAATAAAATAAATAAATGACCATCAACCATCTTGCACAATTTAATAATGAACACACCTCTAATTATCAGGAGAATAGCCAAATCAATGAACCTTTGATCATCACCCAAATCAATGAACCTTTGATCATCACCTAACTATAAATATTTCTCATGAATCATCATTCTCACAACTATTAATATTCTATAATTATTTATTCAACAATTTATAAACTTTATTACAAGTCTATTCCATCTATTTATATAATGGACCCACATCTAATAGATTTTTAGTCCATCCTTCTTACCAACAAGAGCCACCAGTCCACACCTACTTTTCATTCTGATGGCCAACAATCCTCCATGGTTGATAGCAGCCCTCTTCTTCCTCTTCCTCATTCCCACAGGTAATTAATTAACTTAGTTAATTAGTATGCACCTAATCTCTCTATAATCATTAGTCTTTCTCTGCACTCCACAACAATCTAGGGTTTGTTTCAGAATCATCTTCTTCCTCGAGCAGCACTGCAAATAAAAAGATTGAAGGTTTTTTTCAGCAGGTATCTTGCAGGCAAAACAGTACTGATTGTGTACAGATCTGTAGCAATTACTGTGAATCTTTATGTGGCCATTCATGTCCTCTTACGAGATGTGATGATGGAACCTGCTTCTGTTCCTGTAACTGATCACCAAAACCCTAAAATTAGCTATATGTAAAACATGAGAAATTCAGTAGAAGAATAAAGTTTATGATCAGTTCTTTAGTTATCTAAAAAAATTACAGACTTAGTTTCAAGTGCATAAGAAGTAATTTTTTTTTTTACTTTTTTTAGTATTGTTATAGAGTTCATATAGCAAAATTTTATATTTATGAGAATTGCTTCTGGTTTAAGCTCTTTGGAAATTAATTTTTATTTTACTCTTTATAAATTGGTTTTTTAAATGGTGGAGATTATAATATGTGTGAATATTTTTTTTGAAGGATGGATGAGTGGATATTAATATTTCGCTTTGAAATATTATATTTATAAAAAGAGAATTATAATTAAATAACTACAATAGCATTAGAGAGAGAGAATTGTGAAAGAATGGATGGCTTGAGAGATGTTGAAGAGAGTAACATGCAACTAAGATTAACTTCATTTTATAGATATGAAGG